TAGAAATAGAAATAGAAATAGGTTTTTAGTTTTAAGATAGTTATTAAAACTTCTTATATAAATTGTTATTAATAAGTTAGTTATAAAAACTACTTATATTTTCTTATTATTTAGTTATTATAAACTACAGCTTAAAGGGGTGTGTAAAGATTATAATAACTTAGTTATTATTATCTTTTTATTATTATTAAGCTTTGTTAAGATTATACTTATTATTATTTCTTAACAAATTAGAAAAATTCCTAGTAAATCTAATTGCTTACGTAATTAAGATTTTAGTAGCTAGTTTTAATCTACTACACTAGAAGATTCTAAAACACCTCTATTTATCTTAGCTTAGTTAATTTTAGAGTTATTACGTAATTTAATAACTCTTATCTTTCTATCTCTCTTTCTGCAATTGCTAAAAGATCTAGTAATAAACTAATTATTAGTCTATGCAATACAACGCATAGACTAATATAATTAGTACTAGTCTAGATTATAAATCTAAGAGATAAGAAAGATTTAGCAGACTTAGATTATAAATCTAGAAATTAATAGGAATTAAGTAGATTTAATTATAAATTCTTATCTTTAGGCAGAAATAGGCAGATATTTACGCAATTATTCTAGTAGCTATTTTCTATAAAAGAAATAGCAATTCTCTATAGTTATTCTTTACCTAGCAACAATATTATTACCTTTTACCTACTATTTACTCTGTAATTACTTTATTGCAATCTTTATTAGTTATACTATTTATTATAGTATTTAACTACTTTGTTCTAATAAAGCTATATTCTATTATTAGAGAATAGTTCTTGTTACCTATCTATTCTTTACACTTTTAAAATAATATACGTAGGTAACTAACTACTCTCTAAATAGAGAAAACGTATATAAAACTCTATTATTCTATATTTCTATAAGTAGAGTAAGCAGAGACTAATACTAGTAAAAGTCTTAGCTAATACTGTTATTTTATTAATATTAATAAGAAGTACTCTAGTTTCTTTCTTATTAATTATTAATAATAATAACTAAAAGCTTTTTTTCTTATTATTATAAAATAATAATAAGTACTTTTCTTTTTATTATTAATTATAATAGAGGCTAATTAACTACTAAATAAAGATTATAAATCTTTAAATAGCTTAAAGCTAAAAAGGTACTATTATAATAATAGATAAAAAGTATAAGTTAAACTATATAGTTCTAAAATAGATATTTTATTAATTTTAAAGAATAACTCTTTTAGAATTAATAAAAATCTTTTTCTTTTAAATATATTAATTACTTAGAACAAGTAATAATATAAATAAAATATGTTCTAATAAAGCTATAAGCGTCTAGCTAGGCTTATAATCTATAAAGAATAGATAGATAATAAGAACTATTCTTTAATAATAGAATATAGCTTTGTTAGAACAAAGTAGTTAAATACTATAATAAATAGTATTAACTAATAAAGATTATAATATAATTACAAAGTAGATAATAGATAAAAAGTAATAATATTATTACTAGGTAAAGAATAATTATAGAGAATTACTATTTCTTTTATAGAAAATAGCTACTAGAATAATTGCGTAAATATCTACCTATTTCTACCTAGAGATAAGAATTTATAATTAAATCTACTTAATTTCTATTAATTTCTAGATTTATAATCTAAGTCTACTAAATTCTTCTTATTTCTTAGATTTATAATCTAAACTAGTACTAATTATATTAGTCTATGCGTTGTATTGCATAGACTAATAATTAGTTTATTACTAGATCTTTTAGCAATTATAAAAAGAGAGATAAAAAGATAATAGTTATTAAATTACGTAATAACTCTAATATTAACTAGGCTAAGATAAATAGAGGTATTTTAGAATCTTTTAGTATAGTAGATTAAAACTAGCTACTAAAATCTTAATTACGTAAGTAATTAGATTTACTAGGAATTTTTCTAATTTGTTAAGAAATAATAATAAGTGTAATCTTAATAAAGCTTAATAATAATAAAAAGATAATAATAACTAAGTTATTATAATCTTTACATAAAGTAGAGGTTATATTACATTATTACTATATTATTAGAGTAATATTATTTATTATTTATTCTAATCTTATTAAATTTAATAACTTATTTCTTTTTAGTAGTAATATATATTATAAAATAGTAAGCCTACTAAAGCTAACTTTATTATTTATCTTTTACTACTACTACTACTATACTTATCTTTATATAAGCTTAACTTTTAAAAATAGAGTAGTTTTACTTAATACTTTTATTATTTAAGTAAGGTTTTTATTACTATATAGCGTATCTAGAAATATTTTTTACTTACTAGTATCTAAATATTTAGTCTAACTCTTACTAGTATTTTAATAATTTTATCTATCTATTAACTAATATATAAAATTACTACTACTATATTACTATTATTAATTTTAATTATATTTAAGAAAAGTATATAGCTTAGTAGTATTATTTAAAAAGCTTTTTAGTAGTTAGCTTTAATCTAAAATATCTTACTATTAGTATAAAGAAAATAGTTAGTTATACTCTACTATAGAATAGCTACGCTTATATTTATAGTAAGCTTAACTATATTAAAAAAGCTTAGCTAAAAGGCCTTATTATTAATATATCTACTTAAAAGTATAATACTTTTTATTAATATAGTTTTAAATCTACTAAAAGCGTTACTAAAAAAAAAGAATAAAGTAGATATTATTAAATATAGTTATTCTTAAGCTTAAAAGTTAGAAAAAGTAGTAAAATAAAAAAAAAACTAATCTAAAGTTCTAAGTAATATAGTATAAAAAAGAAAAAAGAAAAGAATAATATTCTAATTTATTAAGGTACGTTTATAAACTCTTTTCTTACTACTAAAACTAAATTTTATAGCCTTAGCTATATCTTTTAATCTAAAAAAGCTTATAAAGTTTTATAGTTTTTATTATAAAAGTATCTTCTAAGAATTTAATAAATTTTTTATTTATAGCTTATCTCTAGCTACTAAGCTTAAGACTATTACTTTATTAAGTGTACTAGTGTAGAAATATAGGCAAAGCTTAAGACTATTATCTAAGCTATTTATATCTATAGATTAGTAGAGACTTTATTTTTTTATAAACTTAGATTATATATAATAGCTTTATAGCTTAAAATATTTATATACTTAAATAAATTTAAATTTAAGTAAAGTAGACTATAAATTAAAATATATTAGTAGTAGTTCTAAGAATTATAAGATAGACTATTAAGACTACTAAAAACTATTTTTAATAATCTTAAAAGAGGTTTAGAAATTACTAAAGTTTAATTACTTATAGAAAACTTAACTTTTAAAAAGTAGATTAGTAAAGCTTTAAAATAAATTATATTTATTTAAAAAGTTACTTTTAGACTTAAAAACACTATTAAAATTCTATATATTAACCTTAAAGTATTAGTATATAGCTTCTAATTATGTTATATACTATAACTCTAGTTAAAGAGATAAATATACTTAACTTATACTAGATAAAAATTAATATATTAACTAGAAAATTAGAAGTATCTATCTTATTAACTATATAACGTAATTATAGTAAGTATTACTATTATTATAAAGAGTAGTATTTTTTAAGCTTTCTATTATAAGTTAATATAATATATTATATTAGCTTAATACTATAGCTAGTATTTAAATCTTAAAGAACTATATATACTATAAAGTATATAAGCTAAAACTCTAACTTATAGTATAAAACTTTAAATAAAAGTAATAGTATAAAGTAAGATATAGACTTTAAAGCTTATATAATATTTATATTTTAAAAAATCTAGTTACTACTCTTTAGTATAGTAAGAAAGTAAAGTAGCTTACTTTTATCTAAAATTACTTTAATATTCTTTTACTATTCTTTATAAATTTTTAGATAAAGCTATCTTTTCTTAGTATACTAATTATCTTATAGTTAAAGCTACTCTATATAATATAAAATTAAATACTAGTTTATAGAAAACTTTAATTCTTAAAGATCTTAGGTATCTCTTAAGCTTATACCTTATGCTATAATTCTAGTAACTAAGCTAATAAGTTTCTAGTACTATAGCTCTTATATACATGCTAACACTTTTGCGCGCGATAAGTGCGTGAAAGTATAAGCTTCTCTACGATCGCTGATTTACCACGGCAGCATCTTGCCTTCATACGTTAGGACCTGGCCTGAATGTTCCGCCGTCGCATTGTCGATGACTTTAATCATGCCACAGACGCTCTCTTCCAGCGTTGTCGGCGGGCTCTCCATCTCGTAGTTGATGGCTTTGAGCGCCGACTGCCACTGATCCACGACAAACTGGCCCGCTCGCGTTTGGACCCATCCAGGATGCAAGGGAATGACAATCAAACGCGTGTTCCCCTTTGTGCCGTTATATTCGAGATGGATCGAGCGCGCTAGCCAGTTCTGTGCCGCTCGGCTAGGACCATAGGCGCCGCCGCCAAACGGGCCCATGTCCGCGATGCTTTCGACCGAAGAGGTAACCCAGATGAGTTTGGGGATGGAGTTAGCTCTCAGCAAATACTGCTTCAGACCCTGGAATACGAGCAGAGGTGCGATGGTGTTGGTCTCAAATGCTGCGCGCAGGTCTTTGGCTGTGGACTCGCTTGGTGGGACCTCGGGACCATTGGCTGTGCGCCTCCAGCGTTGAGCGATAGAACGTCGATATGCTGAAATCCCAATTTGGCGAACTTGCTTTCCACCTCTTTGGGATCGATAGCCGTGGAGAAGTCGTACTGTGTGACCTCCAGCTTGCTGCCAGTCCCTTTCGATATGCTCTTGATCTCGTCTTCCAAGACATGTTTGGCTTGCTCGCTACGGACTGTGGCGACCACCGTGTGTTGAGGACGCGTAAGAAGCGATTGCACAAAGTCAAGACCAAGACCTCGGTTTGCTCCGGTGACGACGTACACCGTATTGTCTATGCCGGCCGACATTGGTGATATTGGTGTAATGCAATAGTGCATGACAGGTACAGAAAAAGGGGAAATGTCGGGAGCGGCTATACGGCAGGCCTTATATACTGCCCAGAAAGAATAGAGTGCGCCTTTGACTCAGACTACTGCCCAGGCTGGATGTTGTTGCCTGAAGAGAACAGCCGGGCGGCCCCACGGCGCTTCGTCTGACTATAAGCGCGATATGCTGATTACGACATCTCACCTGTCATATTTGTCCTATCTATTATATCCCAAGAATGCTTACCCTGGGTCACCTAAGCTGAGCTGTATTACTAAGTGTGAGTGGTTAGAAAGGTATGTAAGCGACTGCCTCAGTGGTCGAATTTCTGAGTGGGGCATATATGCCGGTACTTCGACAGCATACCTAGCCTGCAAGCGATGAGGCTAGATGTGAGTCGCAGATTAGTATACGTAGTTACACACTCTATTCAAGAGCGCTTGACGAAAACGTACTCTCACGAATGAGAGAAATCGCAAGTATAATATGCTACACAAGAGGGCAGCCACAAACCCGATCTGTCTCCCGATAGTAGCAGAGCAGCAGCATTTCGTAAGTCTTCAATGTGATATACGCACTCGAGTTTTCAATGTTGCCCTTGTGTAAGATTTATGTGCTATAGTAACTTATTGAGTAGGGTACCTAACAACACTGCTTTCTAGCCTTGCTTTTCGGAAAACAGACTAGGAAAGGTTATCCCATTGCGCGAAGTCTCACCGGAACACACCAAGGCATACGAAGCCTCCACAAGCAAGGCCTACTCGAAGGCTTGATACCGCAAAGATCGGGGACTAATAGGAGACATCATCCTTGCGACGCCAGCCACTGTGCCGATGCCACGGCTCCAACACTAACGTCCTCTTCGCGGAAGGCTCATCCCATTCCGCCCAATCTCGCGCCTTCGCCCTCGTCCCCATTCGCTCAAGTCTCCGTCGTCATCCTCGTCGTCTGTATCTGCATTCCAATAACCCTCTCCATCCCAGCTACCCCGCACACTATCCTGCCCTTCGCCATCTACGACAATCTCAACTCGACTCTCCAATACCATGTTCTCTTTGCTCTCACTCGTCGTTGTGCTCTTCAGCTCAGTTCCTCGCTCTACCTCGTCGATCGCTCGTTTGACTGCGCGCTCGTGGCGTTTGCGACGGAGATAGGTATGCTCGAGTACCAGTAATAGCACGAGTAGGAACACCAGGATAGAGGCAGTAACGATGCCCGCCTTAATCGGGGTGCTGAGCTGAGAGGATGATGGAGGTATTTCCGTTGACGTAGCAGGCGGGATGGACGAGACATCTTGTTGTAAGTCTTGCGCGGATGAGATGCCGTCATCTTGTGCGGCTCCAGCTGCTGAAGATTGTGATGTAATGGTTGAATACCGCGTCAGTGCAGTGCCAGCCATTGTCTGCCGGGCTTCTGAAAAGCAGGTCTGGTCAACTCCATCAGTCGCGTTTACCAAGATGAGAACAGCACATAAAACAACACTTACCGTGCAACTGATCTTGACAGTTCCAGAAAAACCCCAATCGTTGACCAGCGACGCATAGATGAGCTTCATTTGTGGGAACGCAATCAGCGATGGGAACTTCAAAGTGCGATGTAATTGACAAGACTGAAGCGCGTAAGATTGAACAGAAGCGTTGTCGAGAAGAAGAGGGGAAAGCGGCGGTATTGCGCTCGAACAAAACAATCACAACAGTCTCGTCGTGTCTTTCTGCAGTAGTGTACCTGCAGTAGCACCTCAACGACGCAATGCCTCCAGCATCGACATGTCTTTTTCGCAGCCCGAAACAGGGTAAGTACTTTCCATTCATCGCAGCAGTCGCAATCGGAGCACTAACCTGATGCAAGGAGCTTATTATTATACCTCGAAAGCACCATAGTAACAATCGCGACTACAGATGACGGCTCCCTTGCTCCCATTAGCTGGTTCAAGTTTTGAAAGTGAAGACAGGATGACGAGATGCTGAAACACGCCCCTCCCGCCACGCGACGCACAACACACATGTCGTGTAACATAAACTCCATAACAACAGTTTGCTGCACCAAAACCAACGCGAAAACATCACTAACCGTCTACATGACCACTAGAAATCGATCTTTACAACGTAGCCTCGTCGTTCATGCTCCCCTTATTTCAGCATCAATTCAACGCACCTCCGACCCTTCAACAACAAGCTCCTTCCTCACACTAAGATAACTCCCAATCTGACATCTCAGCCCATCAAACGGTCTACCAAGGAGGCAAGTAAGGTAGCTACTCGGTTCCTGTGGGTCGTTCGCCGTGATCGCTGTCGCGCCGTTAAGTATGGTGGCGCGACCATCGCTGCCTTCCCTGTATGTTCAAACGAAGGCATCAGCGCAGTCACAACATACCGTAGTTTTGCAGCCAAACAAAAGAGTGACATAGAGAAAACATACCCAACCCGATAAACCCACAACCAAAAGCTCAACTCAGCCCTCCTCTCCCCAACCGCCTCATACTCCGTCATCCCAAACGACACCTCACCCACATCCCCCTTTCCATCCACACAACCCACCACATCCTCAATAATCGTCCCGTTCTTCATCGTACCTTTGCAATTCCATTTCGACGCTGGTAGCGGAGCCTCCTCTGGCACCAGCACATCGAAGTCGATTGTGGAATCGAATTTTGAACTCTCGGGCCAAGGGCCGTTGCCGGGGATGCCGGTGCTGGTGCTCATCATGTGCATGTCGAGGCGGGGGATGTGCCATGTTTCTGCGGTGGCGGCAGAGAGGTCGCGGGCGTAGAGGGGGGAGTGGGGAGTAGTGGGGAGGGCGGTGGTGAGGGAGATGAGGAGGGGGAGGAATGTTATGAAGGGGGTGGGGAATATCATGATGCAATATCTAGTCGGTGATAGTGATGTTAGGTATCGGTGCTTTTGCTTCGAGTTTGGGAAGTTGGTCCAGGCTGAGATGAGCAATGTCGACAGCGATAGAACTTGAATGTCCAGCATCACAAGCCCGCACTCACGGCTGATATATACCTCTCTAATTTCCAACGCACATTCCTTCGTCAGTCCAACGCCTCCATGTTTGCTCGCCCCAATGCAACCTTACCCAGGCGATCCTGCGCCATGACGTGACCCTAGTACAAAGTGCATCGAACCATGGCCCCATCCCAGCCTATAACACATGTAAGCAGCGCCAGCATACCAGGTATCGTACGAGACTAGCATCAGCTTTTCAGCTCAAAGGCTCGTATAATGCATCGGTACCGAGTAGAGTCGGCTCAACAAACTGGTACACGCATTTCTGAACTGTTGGTGTCGTACAGAGGGACACTTAGTCGCATTAGCGGTCGCACAAACACGGTGTATCCAGGGAAACGATTGCATGCACATGTACGGATACGGGTACCTCAATATATATCCTGCGCGCGCTATAGGATAGCGCTGATAAGAAGGATTGAGAACATTCGATGTACAGTAAATGTCGCTGACTGCTGTCCGTCGTACCTGCATAGCGGTTGCTCAACGCCATTACCAAACACATCCGCTGTGAGACATATCAAACCATGAACGACACTAGACTACCGTGGTATTCGTACACTTGTTCATCCCACCCGCGCACGTATCGTAATGGTCTGCGCCACGCGATTCCAGTGCTCATGCAACTGCAACGCTCCTCCTCACCCGCAATGCAATCTCAGCCATACTGGACAAGTTCCACTCACCCTGAACGCCCTGTGCAACTGGAATGTGCTCTCCAGAGTTGATGACATGCACCTTCATCTTCTCGTGGTACTTGAGACCAGGCAGAAGTTTGGGGGTGACGAGGAAGTATTGACTCGTGTTCTCTTGGCATGCAATGTCCACCATGCGCTCGTGTACCATGCGTTCGTTGCGCGGATCCATACCCTGGTTGATTTCGTCGACGACGCGGAAGGGTGACTGGGCAAGGTCTTGTAGTGCCATGAGGTAGAAGATTGTTGACACGGCGCGCTCGCCACCGGACTGGCGGTGAGAGTTCAATACGCTGAGCGGCTCGTTCTCGCTGTTGAGATCATTAGCTAGGTTTGCGTATGACCGCGACAGTCTGAGCTTACCGGAAACGGACTGAAATCTGGACGGACCAGTTGTCAAAGTCGTCTTCGTCTTTGTTCACCTGGACTTCACCAGCGCATCCAATTTGCTCGAAGTTGTGTGCGAAAGCCCCGCTGATCCTGCGAATGAGAACGTCAAGTTCGGGCTCCCACTTCTGGCGGATGTTTGTGATGTTCTCTTTGATCTCTTCGAGACTGGCAGCGTACTGTTCCAGGTTCTCACGCGTTTTCTCGATGTCACCCGCACGCTTCTGATAGGCCCTGATCGCCCCAGGATTACCTTCGGCCATCATCTCCAGCCGGGCATTGACCGACTGAACCTCTAGCTCCAAGGCTTCGAGTGTGGGAAGCTCTTTGTATTCCATGACGATCTGTCTTTCTTCTTCGCTGAGACTGTAAATGTCGCTCTGCGTAGCCTCTTGCAGCTCTCTGTACTTGGCCCGAAGAACTCGCTCGTGATTCGTGCGCTCGTTGATCTTGTGTTCTTGCGCTTTCTGTCTGTCCAGGATCGCGCTGTTCTCTTTTATGAGGCCCCTAAGCTCCGACTTGACTTCGATGAGCCGGATCTCAGCCTCGACAAGCGATTCGTGGAATGCCCTCATTTGGGTTACAACTTTCTATGGGATCGTCAGCAGGACTCCGGTGACCGATCGTTCATGACTTACAGCATATTCAAGTGTCAGGTTCGCGACCTGCAGTAGTGTAGCACGAGCGTCGGCTTTGATAGCTTTGATTCGGGCAGTGGTCTCTGCATTTTCCTGCGTTTTGCTGTGCAGGTCGGCTTGTTTCGATGCTAGACATAGTTAGCGAATACTCCTCCTCACATATGTAAGATACCCACCAATTTTGTCGGGTAGAGCTTCCCATTCGGCGAAAGCCTTCTTCAAGCCGTCTTGCTCAGCTTGCACAGCGTCCTACCAAATTGTCAGTTATTGGCGCATTTGCATCCAGTGGCAGCAACAAGTACCTTCTGTTGTTTGAGATCCTCATTCTCCCCCTCGAGTTTGCTGACTTCGTCCTTGAGGATGATGTGGTTCTCGCGTAGCTCTTCTCCCTCATGTACTAGCCCTTTTTGTTCCTCAATGATGGCTCTCAACTCATCCGTATTGCCTGGCTGATCTACGAAAGATTGTGCTGGCCTTAGTGGTACAACGGACGTAGAAGACTGGTTGTAGCGTGAGATCACGCGATACGTGTCCGAACCACTCACCCAGCTACGAATCGGGCTTCGCTCCTCCACAAACTTATGTACATCATCAGATAGTGGTGTTGCAGCATACGCGATTTGATGCAGTTTACAGCCTTCGCAAAGCATGGCCAAGACTTCGTCGGGTCCTTTGACGTAGTCTAAAATATACCCCTCAAACCCGTATTGGGCCAAGCCTGCCCTGGCCATGGGCGGTTGATACGAAGAGAGGGGCTTTAGTGATGTTCGAAGATAGACTTCGCTGAGTCCCTGCCCGCCGTTGGCTTTGTTACTGAGCAGACGCTTGCCCAGCATCTTCGAGTCCTCGTTGGTGGTACAAGTGATGGCAATGAGGTCGCCCTTTTTCAATTGACTCTCGAAGGCCTTGGCATACTTGGGATCTGAGACGGAACATTCCAGTATCGGTGGCCCGAAGACTTCACCTTTCAACTGCAGAGACGCTTTGTTCCTTTGAATCCATTCCCATGCGGCAGCGGTCTCGCGGGAAATTCTCATCAAAAGGCTGGCTTGCTTTCCGCTCTGTGTGTTCAGCCGATCCTGATTAGCTTTCAGCTGCGTGTGTCGGGCTTTCACGACACCAGCGCGGGTAGCTAACTCTTTCATGCCACTCCTTTTGTCGGAAATGAGGCCCATGTTAGTAGAGATCTGGTCGCGGAGATCTGACTTGCGCTGCTCGTAAGATTCGGCGTCGAACTCCGCGGGTTGGTCCTGTCGCTGGGCTTCTAGCCTGGTAATATCACGGTTGAGGCGAACCATGTCATCTGCGCGCTTTTTCTTCGAACTCAATTCGGCTTTGATCTGATTGTCAGTTTCCGCCGCTTTCGCTTTGCCGGTCTCAATCTTTGTCGCGAGCTTTTCAGCCTGTGTCTTGATCATGTCGACGCGGTTCTTCCGAAGGTTTGCGATTTGCTCAATATCGTTCTGATATGTTTCGACTTCTGCTTGAGCCCTTCGCGCTGGTTCTATGTCGATGTTTATTTGATCGAGCTCCAGTCTAGCGTCTCGAATCTCTGCCTTTACTGCAGTAATCTCGGTCTTGAGAATTTTCGTCTCGATGATAGGCTTGACCGACTTCAAGCACTTCGACTTCCGCAAAAGGCCTTCTCGTTGATGGTAGCGATCTACGTCATCTTTTGTTGCGGTTTGTGCTTTCTCCAGCATGTCCAGATGGTTGCGTTCGTTCTTCTCCTTCGTCTCCAAAGCGCGTTCTTGTGTACGCAATTCCTTCAACTCGTCATGCCATTTCACCATCTGCGGAGGCGCTGCAGCGCGTTGGGTCTCTCGT